ACTTTATATTTTGTCTGTAGATGAAAAAACTAAGGAGTCCGAAAGTGACAGCGGTAAGTCAGTATTATACTTTAACGCAATTTTTCAAGCATAAAAAGTTATTCACTGATGTTAGCATCAGATGCCAGTATTTATGTTGGATCCTATGTAACTTTAACAAAAATAATAATTATCATTATTATTAATGATAAGAATAAGAATAAGAATAATAAACTGTAATTAATAAATGTTTTAGTAACTTTATATTTTGTCTGTAGTTGAAAAAACTAAGGAGTCCGAAAGTGACAGCGGTAAGTCAGTATTATACTTTAACGTAATTTTTCACACATAAAAAGTTATTTACTGATGTTTGTATCAGAGGGAATGTTTATGTTGTTTCTAACTCTAATTCAAAAATAATGTAATTAATGATGTTTTGGTAAAATTATGTTTTTTCTCTGCAGATGAAAAAACCGAGGAGTCTACATCTGACAGTGGCAGTGGTGAGTTAGTATTATGGTAGTACAGATATGTATGTTTTCAGTCTGTGTGGTAATAGTTTGGTTTGTCTGTTGATGAAATAACATGAGGAGACCAACAAGTACAATCTGAGCTGCCGGTTCAAATTCCTGCTTATTTGTTTTTGAAAATCTGGCACTTAAATCTTTATATTAGTTTATTAGTGTCCATTTGTTATACTTAGGAAGTTGATTTTATAATTATAATAAAAATGATTGATAACGTTTTTATTAATGATGCTGTTGTTCCCAACAATAACTAAAGAAATATTGTATCTAATAAATGTTTGGCTAAGTTTATGTTTTGTCTCTGCAGATGAAAAAGCTAAGGAGTCTTCATCAGAAAGTGACAGTGGTAAGTTAGTATTATAATACAAAAAAAAGTACACAAAGTTATTTACTGATATTATCAAGAGATGATATTGATGTTGTTGTTTCCCAGCACCAAATAAAAACTAATATAAATAATGAATGTTTGGTGGCTTGTTTCTGTAGATGAAAAAGATAAGGTGTCTACATCTGAAAGTGACAGTGGTGAGTTGGTATTAAATACAAAAATAAGTACACAAAGTTATTTACTGATATTATCAAAAGTTGATATTTATGTTGTTGTTCCCAGCGCCAAATAAAAACTAATAATGAATGTTTGGGGCTTGTTTCTGTAGATGAAAAAGATAAGGAGTCTACATCAGAAAGTGACAGTGGTAAGTTAGTGTTATAATACAAAAATAAGTACACAAAGTTATTACCTCCGCCAAGGGCGGGGTAATGTTTTCGGTTGCGTCTGTCTGTCCGTCTGTCTGTCTGTCTGTCTGTGGACAACATTACTCAAACACTTGAGAACGGATTGTCATGACATTTTTACCACATGTGTGTACCGGGCCAAGGAACACACCTTTAAATTTTGGTGATGTTCTGGATCACGATGCGGACACAGGATTTTTTTCTTCTTTTAACACTCTGAGATCGGCAAAGCTGTGATGCTTTCACAGGGCTTCTGTAAAAAACAGTGAGCTGGATTGGACATCATGCACTTCAAACTTAAAGCAATGTTAAAATCACCTTTAATGATGAATAATTTTTGCCATAATATGCACATTTACAGTACGTTTTGTGACCAGGAAGTGCGTGACTGCACCGTGAAACCTATTTTTCCCATATTCTCAAACACACCACATTTCCGAAACAACCAATCAAAACAGTTTCTCTACTAGGTTTGTAAACAGACAGTTGCTGGGCCTCAAAGTTTGGAGACGGGGGGAGCCAGGAAGCACTTTATAAAGAGTCAAACCATTACAAACTCATACAAGGAGATAAAACAGACGTTTTACATGGTCAAATGTGACTGATGAAAACTTAGGAGCTTAATCCGACACCAGTTTGACCATGAACAACGTCGGTGACGAGTCTGACTTTTTTTTTCACATTGGACTCCACCTGGAAGAAATCAGGTGCATACTGCCTGCTTAAATGTTCACTACGTCAGAACTTATTCAACAAATGTGTTTCCATCTCTGCTTTTATGCATTAACTCTTTCAGGATGGGGGAAATTGGTCTTGGCGGAGGTTTGCACTCTCCGAGTGCTTCTAGTTTACTGATATTATCAAAGGTTGATATTGATGTTGTTGTTTCCCAGCACCAAATAAAAACTAATATAAATAATGAATGTTTGGGGCTTGTTTCTGCAGGTGAAAAAGATAAGGAGTCTACATCTGAAAGTGACAGTGGTACGTTTGCATTACTGTAGTTAAAAGTGAATTTTTAAGCTCTTTGAAGTTCTTTTCTCAGTCTATATTCTGTTTGTCTCTGCAGAGGAACACGATGAGAAAAGGCCCAGCGAAGTCATAAGCTTAATAACGAAAGGTAAATTGTCAAACTTTTATTATTTTATGTTTTATTAATTGTAAAAACGTCCTAATAAATTTTCTCTTGACCTGATGGTTTGTCTCTGTAGACAGCCACGAGCAGACTGAGTTCCTTATGATTAAAGGTGGTAAGTTAGCTTCATTGTAGTACTTAACAGTATTTTTTAAAGTACTTACCTAAAAATAARTTATATTTATGTCTGAATGTAACACATATGATATTATTTATAATGGTTGGTCTCTACAGGCGACCATGGAGAGTTGGGAGTCAAACCAAAAGAAAGCGGTAAGTAAAACATTAAAACCTTATTTTTAATCTTCATAAAACAATAATAATCCTTATAATTCGGTAATCTGATGGTTTGTGTTTGTAGATGAAAGCAAAGATGAGTCCGATTCCAAGTCCTCTGAAAATGGTAAGTCTCTAATGTCGGAACTGAAAAAGATCATAAAGAGCCTCTTTGAAAGAGAAACTTTATTTTAATTTAGAAGTATTTATTGTGTATATTCTGTAAAATGAAATCATAACATGATGTTTTTGCTCAGCAGATGAAAGCAAAGATGAGCTTGACTCCAAGTCAACTGAAAGCGGTAAGTCACGTTTATAGTGGTGAAAAAGAAAACATAAAGTGCTTAAATGGAGCAACTTTATATTTTTTATTTTATAAATTATATTTAATGTATCTTATCTGTTAAATAAATGTTTCATGACTCAATCATTTGTGTCTATAGAAGAAAGCAAAGATGAGTCTGACTCCAAGTCATCTGACAGTCGTAAGTCACATTTATGCTTAAAATGAAATTATGAAGTGCTTTTATGAAATAATGACAAAAAACAAAAGGAAATAAGGAATTCTACTGCTTGAACATTACTTTTCTACAACCCTCTTGAGAATTCAGTACCTGCTTTCTTAAATAATCAGAGCTTTAAAAACAATGACAGACTTTTATTTTGAAACTCATTTTGAAACTTCCTGTTTTTCAATTTAAACAGATTTTTAAACTTTTAATCCATGTTTTTTTAATCAGACTGTTATAAATCATGTTCTCTGGGTCAGAAAAGCTGCTGAGCAAACCAGGGACATGGTTATTACTGAAAAACCGATAAATATGGACTATAAAGTGGGATCCTCATAAAATATTTGCTGTAAATGTGGTCAAGATCTAAACTTTTAATTGAAAATTATATTTATACTGTGCAAATACTGAATGTTTTATTTTTTTGAGTGGGGTGGAGTAGAAAAAGCTTATGTGTTTTGAACTGTTCATTGATATTAATTGTGAACTTTGTGTTTGATGTTTTTTATTTGTAGATGAACCAAGTGAGGAGTCTGAATCTGACATGAAGAAAGATGGTGAGTCAGTGAAAAGCAAAAATATATAAAGTTCTTTGAAATAATGACTCAAAACTTAAAAAGTACACAACAATACTGCAAGTGGTACTGCTCACCATACTTTTTTACTGCTCAAAAATCAAACTTTAACACTTTTCTGTGGAAATTTGGGACTTACTTTTTCAATAATCTAACCTCTAACACTTCCAAACTGTGAACATTATTTTGAAATTCAGAGTTCAAAGYACTTCCTGTTAAATTTAATTCATTCAAAACTTTCAAATGTTGAATCCAACAGAGCATCTCGCTCAATATTTCATCATTTAATTATCTGAATCTAAAATAACACAAGAAGCTGCTGGGTTAAAGATTGTCACARGGATTCACGCTTTTTTTTAACTTATGATCGATTTAAACAGTTTCAAAYGTTWAAAAAAACTAAACAWAAAACTGATAACAGGTTGGGTGTCAGAAAATTTGAAGAACAAYATAGATTAATGTCGACTTTGAAACTGTTTAAATCACTCTTGAGAAACACAAAACAGTGTTTTGTAGTATGATTTATTGCATTTAAAACTTTAAAAATAAAATAAAATTAAACTAACTAAATACTAAATTAAATTTTGCATTATTCTGTAGGACCATTGTTAAAGCATTATTGTTTGGTCTGGTGTTTTTTGTTTGTTTGTTTGTTGTTTTTTTTCCCTGTAGATGAACCAAGAGAGATTTGAAGAGAGAGATCAGGTTTATTGATCCCTCTGGGATCAATAAAGTATTTTTGAATTGAATTGAATTGAATTTCTCATTTCGTGCTTCTTGGAGAGGGTAAATACTCTAAATAATTTATTTCAATTCAGTTAAAATTATCCACACAGTCCCAAATCACAGCAAAAGTAATCACCGGGTACTAAACTAAAAAAGTAACATAATGTTGAATTGCATTATTTGACTTCAACCATTATTAATATTGCATTATTAGATAAACTACAGGAAGTGTAATGTGAAAATTTCTGTGTAAATTATATAAATGTGTATGTGTGCTCATGTATACATGTATATAAATGTAAAAACAATTATAATTCTGAAGAGATTTGTTAAACGGTCCTATTCTCACATCTCATTTTGGATGGGAGCGTGATTAAACTGTAAGAAGGGACAGGAATGTAAAAAAAAACATGCAATCCCATTCAGTCCAAAACAAGACCAACCAAGATTTATATTCTAGTATTTAATGAATAAAGTCTTTAATGAATAACCCAAACAGAACCAGTGAAGAGCTGAAATTAGTGACATATCAATGAAAAACCTGTGACAAATATATTTTTAAATCCCTTAAAGCTTCCACAGATTATCCTCTGGAGGGATTTCCAGTGAATCAGTTCTTTCAGACATAAAAATTGTGATTAGTTACTTTTTACAGCATTTATTAGTAAATTTTACAAATATATCTGCAAGTGTAAAGTTGTTTAGAGGAAGTCAGTTTTTCTGTCACTTGAAGGTCAGACGATTGAATTCTTCTTCTTTTACTGAGCAGAAACGTTTGTTTTCCTTCACAGATCCTGAGAGCGACGAGCATCACCGTCACTCTGAGGAGTCTGAGTCGGACGAAACCAAAGAGGATGACGATGACGACGAAGAGGAAGAGGAGAAACACGAGAAACACGAAAAACACGAGAAACACGAGAAAGACGAATCCGACGAGCCCGACTCAAAAGACAGCGAGGACGCAGACGACGAGGACGAGGACGGAGAAGACGAGAGCAAGAGCAGTGAGGAAGACTCCAAAGCTACTGAGGAAGACCACGCCGCCTCAAACCACGAACATGAAGATGAACACGAAGACACGGAGGAAACCGAGGCCACTGAAGGTGAAATAAGGATGCTTCTTGGTGAGGCGTCTTCAGAAAGTAAACATCAAGATGGAAAATATAAAAACAAAGTAACTCAACGATGCTGAAGCCGAACACAGAGGTTTCTGTAAAGTTAAACACCTCATATTTGGGTTATTTGACCCAACATTTGGTCTGAGTTCTGAAAATAACCCAGTAGTTTTCAGTGTGTGAAAACTCAAAGATCAGTTTCTCTAAAACTTGTGTTTATTTTTCTGATCAAAGTATTTTTTTCCAACATTGTTTGTTGCTGTTATGTTTGCTCTGATTGGCTGAAACTATTTCTCTAAAGAAAAATGTTTTATAAGTCAGAGATTAAACCGAAGGGAAAAAGTTCAGAAAAACAATGATTTCTGAAGCAAACGAAGGCAAAATGTTATTTCAAGAATATTGCTGCTACAGATGTGAGATCAAATGTTTAAAAATCGAGACTTACAAATAATTTTTTGTTCCAGAGCCGACTGTAGACAGCGAGACTGCTAAGACCACCTCCCACGTCACACCTGGTAACTTTTACTTATGTCTCATTTAGTGATTGGAAATAAAGTGATCTCTGCAGTACAAAGAGAACAAAAAAGCTAAAAGTGAACAAATTAAAAGCTAATTTCTAAATGTCTGTTTTCTATTCCAGCCTTGGTGGCCTGAACTGTGGAACCACACTGATGTCAGGTATCAACACTCTGTCATTACTGATTAATATTAAAAATGATTTCAGTTTTATTATAAAAGCTTAAAAAATAAACATATGTTCAGTTTTATATGTAACTTTTATTATTCTTCCCCCACAGAAGCATCAGTGGATACCAACAACATGCTAAACTGCATCTGAACTCCAGCTTCCTGTTCTTCTTTTTGGAGTCTCCTGTTTTATTTTCTGATTGCAGTTTCATTTTGCTGCTTTAGGTTTACTCTTTAAAAGATATAATTAAAAAAAAAGAAAAAAAAACATGTCTTCCTCCTTTTTTTTAATTCTCCGGTTGCATCCCTCTGATG